TTATTGAAGGACGACACAGATACACACAAAATACAACGACGCGGATAAGACGTGTCCTTGACGCCACAGAACCACTTCGTCGCTAGAGGGTGCGAAAATATGAATTGTTCAACTTTGTGTTCAATACACTCGTCTGCATATACTTGAACCACCATCATTAGGTTGACTTTATTTTGCCTGAGAATACCGTAAACATTGCCGGTGACATCAGGGATTTCTTTGCATGGTGGGTCACAATTACATCATATGGGTCACCGCCAGTCACCGCGATACCAGAAGCAAACCAAAGTTCGTCCAGATCCTGGTCGACACGACACAAGAATCTGCCGTCACCGGTGAACACTTGAACGCGATGGTCGCTGCAGACGAGAATGTTACCGAGTGGATCTACTGCTACACCCCTTGGGTGGAAAAATTGTCCGTCGTCATAGCCACGCTGCCCGAATTCGTATAGATAACCTCCATCGGAATTCATCACCTGAACACGGTGGTTGTAGTAATCTGACACGATGACGTCATCATTACGACTGACTGTGACGAACCAGGGGTTTTTGAATTGGCCCGGCCCGTCCCCATAGCAACCGAACGTTTTCATGTGTTTTCCAAAACGATCATAAATTCTTACACAGTGGGCATCAATGTCCGTTACGTACATCCGGGAATTTGACGATGCGGCGATTCCTACTGGGCTCTGTAACTCGGAGTTCCCGAAGTCTCGTTTTTTCCTTCCATACGGCTCGCATACGACAACGCGTCCCTTCTCGATATCAGTAACGGCGATGTTGCCGTCTTTCAACACAAGTATGTCACGTGGTTCAAACTCCTCCTCCTCGCCACCAGTGGAAAAATGTCCTCGGTATCTATAATCGTGATCAAACGCCACAACCCCGCGAAGCGTATCCGCCACGAGACATTCCCGACGTGCTGTCATGGCAACACCAAATGGCATGGTTAGTTTCGTGGCTGGGTCGTGACTTCCGCCAACTGACGTCAATTTACGGTAAACTAGATAGGTAGGCGGAACTTCTACACTCGCTCGAGGGTGTGGCTCAGCGTTTCTCGAAACCTCTTTGTGACTGGTCACAGTTAGCGGCATTTTCGCTAGATAACCGATCTGGTTGTTTTTTAACATCCCAAGGAGTTGGTCGTTTCTCTTGAATAAAAGGACATTTTCGATGTCTCCATGGTAACTGTCATCTAATGATGAACTCGATAGCCGTCTAGTTTGTTGTGTGATTGCCCTAGTGCCCATAAACTCGTTTCGCATAGAATTGCACTTTCTGCGTTGAAGCCCGTTTGAAGACGGCGACGAAGGCGAAGTCAGTTTGTCCTGCAGTCGTTGCTTAGTAACAGCGTAATAACCAGTGACTTCGCCGATCATTTCTTTCTCTTGAATCTTAAGTTCCATCATGATGTCGTTGGCCCATGTTTGAATATTTCTGATAGTTTCTGACGTTTTTCTTTCAAGTTCTTCCTCCTGTTTCATTGTCATTGCCAGACTATGTGGCGACCTAGCTAACGAACGGGGCATTGTGGCAGACTGGAACCGAGGGGCTGAAATTTCGTAAAGTGGAGCGAGAGACGGTTGATTCATGGACTGTTTTGTCTTAACCGTTGCGTACTTGAACGACTGATTCCGTTTTGGTGATGCTACATGGCCTGGTTGTCTCCCAGTCGACGACTTAATGTATGAAATTGCCGATTCGAGGTCGTCGGTGTGCGATTTTTGCCTTGGCGATTCCAGGTATCT